TTAATCAACATGTTCACAGTTTTTGCGAGTTCCTGCAGGAATCAAAGCTATGTATTTTGAATGGTCGTTTTAATAGAAACCAAAATGATTTTACTTTTATTTCTCGTAAGGGGAGATCAGTAGTTGATTACGTGTGCGTTCTCCAAGATCATTTAAGTTATTGTAATAATTTTAATGTTATAACTATGTCGTCTCTGGTTGAGAAGTACAATTTATATGATGCACACACTGATAGAAGTAAACTCCCTGACCACTCACTTTTAATTTTTGATTTTCTGGATAGACCACTGGGTTCAATAGTGGAACACAGTTTGCCAAATGATATTAATATCGGTAATAACCGGCACAGTGCGACTGTTAGAAAGTATTGTCTCAATCAGACTCCTATTACTTTTCTAGAATCAGAAGTAGCTAGGGAAGCATTATTACATATAATTTCTAAGATTGAAATTTGTAGGGAAACGCAACAAGAAATTGATGAGATTTATGATGATCTATGTAAATGTATTTTAAATGAAATGAATTTGACCGTTCCAAATTATAACTGCTCCAGTGGGACACGGAAAAGATTCCATCATCATAAACCATACTGAAACGACGAGCTATATAGTATGTGGCGTGTTATGAAAGAACAAGAATGCTCTTACACTCGATTTGGCGGCCCTAAGAATATTAGAACGATATTATGTAATGATTTCAAAGCAGCGAGACGGGCATTTGACAAAAAACTTCGGTGTTGCGAACGAAATTGTAGAAATGATCTTGTTTCTAGCATTGAAAAGGTATGTACTGAAAACCCACACCAATTTTGGGAGCATATTAATAAATTAGGGCCAGTCAAACGTAAAGATATCCCAATGGAAGTTTACGATGACGGGGGTCATATTACAAGTAATCATGACATTGTTTAAAATAAGTGGAAACACGATTTTTCATCCCTTTATAATCAATCTGATCTAGATGGATTTGACGCTAATTTCTACGAACATATTTTACATCATTTGGATGATCCACTGTATGATAGTAATTCTGAATTAAATAAGAATTTCCCCACTGTAGAAATTAAGACAGTGGTAGCAAAAGCAAAGTCAGGGAAGGCAGTTGGAGTAGATAAAATCCTGTATGAAGTGCTTAAGAATGACAGTTCTGTTGCCATTTTAACTCATCTTTATCAACTTTGCTTTGACAGTGCAAAAGTTCCATGCATCTGGAAAAAAACATTAATTTGTCCAATTCTTAAGGTGAGGTTGAGTGACCCTCGCGTTCCAATGAATTATAGGACCATAAGCATACAGTCCACTTTATCAAAACTTTACAGCGCATTGCTTAATAACAGAATCACAAGGTTTTTAGAAAATAATAATATTTTAGTAGATGAGCAAAATGGTTTCAGAAAGGATAGAAACTGCGAAGATCACATTTATATTTTGACATCTATTATCAGAAATAGAATATCCCATGATTTA